GAGTAGTTTTTGCCATAATTAAGTCAGAAAATGGCTAGTCTTCCCTTATTCACAGCTTCCATGAGCAATTCTCACTCTAGTATTGTAGTATTCAAGGAATTCTCCAAGATGTCTTCAGGAAATCTTTTCTCTTCAGATCTTTCTCCACTAATACCCCTTCTACAAAATTTAACGTAAATAAACTTGCATTTTAAATCTGAAAACATGCATGACTCACATACAAATTTCATATAGGTATCAAAATGATAATTTATCTTTAATGGAATAGAGCTAAAAAATAAATAATAGTGCTAATAATAAATAAATTAACAGCAAAATTTGTAGCTAAGGTGGATAGATCTTTGAGATATATTGTAGCATAAAAACAAATGGAAAAATAGTGCACATATCATACAATTTTGAGGCAAACACACATACAATTTTTTTTTATAATATATATGAAGATGTAAGGAAAATGGTCTGGAAGGGACATTTCCATCTGAGATGAGTAATTATCCTAGCAAAGTATTAAACAATAACAACTACAGACAAAAATCCAAGCATGGACCTTACCTAGAGAGACCCCATTTGGGCCTCAGAGAGAGAAGACACCTCATCTTTGTGGATTTAACCAAATGTGTTAGGCAAAATCATACACCAATATCTTTATTTATTCTTAAAATTTTGAAAGCATCATACTTTTATTTTTATATATTTGGCTGTGTCAGGAGCAGCATGCAGGATCTTAGTTCCCCCACCAGGGATCAAACCTGTTCCCCTTGCAGTGGAAGCACAGAGTCTTAACCACTGGACCACCAGAGAAGTCCCACACCAATATACTTAAAAAACAGCAGAAGGAGGATTATCTCATTGCCTTCCTCCCCACTCATAATGCCTTGGATTCCACTCTCTCAGGCAAAAAGAGGCCAGAAGTAAAAAAGTGAAACAAAATAAAGATGAAGTTAGTTCTGGGCCGGGTCATCCCAGTCATTTGTGGGACCCGAGGCCCAAGTACACATGGACATCCATGTGTAATATGTCTAAACATGTAAGTTATATGTCAAGCAAACATGCTGTTTGTTACATGAAATATACCATGTCTTCCTGCTTTGACAAATATTCCTGCCAAATGAATAACTGACAGGAGGGACGGGTCAAGCGAGAGCTGTCAGAGTCGTACACCCAGCAAGAGGCAGCATTTGGAGAGCCAGCTCGTGGTCCGTGGGTCTTGTTCTTGGTTTTCTGCTGCTGGCCTGGGTGGCGAGGGGCTCTATGCATGTGTGGACCACTAGGCTTGCACAGACAATCTCCATCCACATCCCTTTAGACAGCTACATCTGGTCTCCCCTGGCCCTTCTATGTCCCAGCCTTGGAGAGCTGGAGCTGGTGAAGGTTGGACTGGGGAAAGGCCTGTTGTGGGCCCTGGAAGTGAGCTTAGGGCATTTGAAGAGGAATGTGGGATCTCTCCTCCCTTGAGCTTGGTTTAGAAGTGGAGACAGGACAAAAGCTATGGAAGGGCACATCCCTTGGGCCTCATGGACTCCTTAGCCCATGGGAAGTGTGATTGGATGAGAGCTGTGGAAGGGTCCTCTGAAGCCAGGGTCCTGGGTTTGGGTCCCCTCTTATACTGGTCTAAAGTCAGTGCTATTCTTGATTTGGGGATGTTCTGGGCTCAGGTCCTGATGAGTTAAGGGGTTTCAAGTGTCATTTTGATTATCTTATATATATATAATCTAAGTCAGTGAATTAACCTCATTCTTTCCACTTTGTGCAAAACATGGATATTTAAAAATACAGGCAACATAGCCAGTATCAAGACTTTCATCTCTGTGAGAGATACCCAGGAGTGAATCAGAGACTGACTGATAAAACCTGACCCACCTCTCTCATTCCCTCATTTCACTGGAGTAGCAGGCAGAATTGTTGACACTGAATTGTTTTCTCTCCCGCCTTTGCAGAGTGAATATAGTTAAATGTACCTTAAAGTGCAAATAGTGTGATTCTACTGCACTAACTATGGGATCTTATTTCCTTTGTATTATTTTTTTGCTGCATAACAAATTACCCCCCGATATAACAGCTTAAAACAACAAGTATTTATTATTTCAGAGTTTGTGTGGGTCAGAAATCGGTAAATGGCTTAGCTGGGTGGTTGTGACTCAAGGTCTGTCATGAGATTGTAGGCAAGCCGTCCACCAGGGCTTCGGGGGTCCAAAGACTCAGGTGAGGCTGAAGGATCCAATACAAGTTCACTCACATGGTTTTTTCAGGCTTTACTTCATTTGCTTGTCATATTATATGGGCCTCCTGGAAGCCAAAAAAACTTCTGGAAGGTGAGAAGAGTCAAGTGACATAGTAACATTTGGAAAAGGGGACTTCAGATCTGGCAGATGCAAGGTAACTTCCAAAACCAGGATCTGCCAACAGGTGCTGTGTCAGGCCTCCTGGGGAGTTTATGAAAAATATACCAGTAGTATACACATCCTTATAGTTAATAATACTGTATTATATATTTGAACGTTGTTTATAGAATATATCTTAAAAGTTCTTGGCATAAGAACAAAATTTTTGTAACTAGGTGTGGTGATGGATATGAACTAGACTTATTATGGTGAGCATTTCACATATATATACCTACCAAATCATTATATGGTACCTCTGAAACTAATAAAATGGTGTCTATCTAAATAAAAAAATACCTGTTTCTAGGTCTACTTTTTTTTTTTCTTTTGCGAGGAAGGTGAACTCAAGAGAGTTAAATGACTTGCTCAAATGTCCATAGCTAGAAAAGGACTGAGCTGGGACTGGAACTCAGGCTCATCTGGAAGTGAGAGTTACTGTGAAAAGGTAGCACGCTGGCCTGACTCCCCTCAAACCCACGTGAACATGAAGCCTGCCTCTCTACTGACAGCAGGCAGCCCTGTGTGTTTGTTACATGATCTGTATGAACTCCAGTTAGCTTATATGTGAAGAGAGTGTAATAGTTACCTTGTGCTGTTATTGTGATGACTGAGATGTTTTTTAACGCTCCCTTGCCAAAGAACACTAGGAATATTTCCTATCGTTTAAAGAGTTGAATTTATTACTCATTGCACTGAGGGAAATGCATACCATGGGAAACCCTGGAGGTGTGTCAGTGAGAAGGTATTAGAAAATATTATTAAAGGATTTGTTTTTTTGTAAGCTGAGTGCAGGGGCGCTCAGGACACCAGAGTTCATTCTACAAATGTGTATCTTTGTAAATCTTATTCATAGTAGGGCAGACCAGAGGGAGACTAAGGCTGTAATTGGCAAAGAAGCTCTAACTGGCCAGAATGGCTGTGTGTCCACTGTGGTTTGGATGATGTTCATATTTTGTCTGTGTTTAGACATAATAAGGAGTCTTGCTCTTGTCTATATACATCGTGGTCATAGAGGGGCCTTGTTGGATGCTGATGTTCTGAGAACTTGTTCATGTTTATGTTCAACAGAAGAACCCCAAGGCCCAGTGATAGTACCAAGGCCATCTCTTTCCCAGTTATAAACCATCTAGTCATAGCGCTGGACTCAACTGGTGTTCCAGTCCCTGAGCCATGCCTCTTATTGTGCGCTCCCAGTCAGCACTGAGCCTCTGAGTCACAGTGAGACAGACAGGGGTGTTCTCAGGTGGAGACGTTTGGAGAAAATGAAAAGACAGATGTCCCTTCAAGCGCAATGATTCCTTTTCTTCCCCAGCTTCAGGCATGCTGCTGCTGCTGCTGCTGCTAAGTCGCTTCGGTCGTGTCCGACTGTGCGACCCCATAGACGGCAGCCCACCAGGCTCCCCCGTCCCTGGGGTTCTCCAGGCAAGAACCCTGGAGTGGGTTGCCATTTCCTTCTCCAATGCATGAAAGTGAAACGTGAAAGTGAAGTCGCTCAGTCGAGGCTGACTCCTAGCCACCCCATGGACCGCAGCCTACCAGGCTCCTCTGTCCATGGGATTTTCCAGGCAAGAGTACTGGAGTGGGCTGCCATTGCCTTCTACGGCTTCAGGCATGATGCGAAGTCAATTCCATGAGGTCAAGGGTATTTCAGCCTGTGGACAATTTCAGAAAGAGCAAAGGGGGGGCTGCAAGGTAGAGGGCCCATCCTGGACTCTGCCTTTGCGTCCTTCCTGCAGTAGAGGTGTACTCCGCACTTCCTGTGAGCCAGACCTGGGCTTGATGCTGTGTGACGCCCATCACTACATGGAAAATAGACAAGCAAAGGGTCACGCTGAGAATCGGGGTAAAAGAAAACGGTACCACGAGGACCACTGGCCGTCTAAGCAGTGGTTCCTATACTTTTCTGAATGTTGGAAGCACCTGGATCTTTAAGAAATATGACTGACTGGATCCCACTGCACTGATCTAATTCATCTGGGATACCACTCGGAGCATCACAATTTAAAAACTCCTTGGGTAATCAAATGTGCAGTAAAGTTGGGAAACCACTGGTTTAGTCCATCCACCCTTACAGATTAGGGTTGGGGGGGCGGGGGTCACAAGGCTGTTTAACCGTATGAAAGCTGCGGTCCCTCATTCTAGACACTTGGGTTTAGATATAAAATCTGAAAATCAATTTCAGACCTTAGGAAGAGAATCTGGGAATTCCTCGAGGGAGGCGGGTTGTCTCGTGAAAACCCCCCAATGGGGGTGATATGAGCTCCCTGCAGAATGGCGCTGGCCCTGCTCTTTCACAGAAGCCCCGGCATTAGTGACACCAAACCTAGCTCCCGCAGAGAGGTAAGCAGCCCCCGAGCGGCCGGTGTGCGCACGTGTGAGAGTGTGCCCGCCGGCGTGCACGCGCGGGCCCGCCGGCGAGCGTTCGTTTCCGTTCGGGAGCCCGGGCGGCCTCCGGCTGCGGCTGCAGCAGCGCGCCCGGCGCCCCCTCCCGCCCAGTCCCCTCCCCCGGCGGCTCTCGCTCGCCCTCGTCCCTCCCCCGGCAGCGTCCGCCGCCTCCGGGTGCGCAGGGCAGCGCGCGGCACGCGAACCCCTCCTGCAGGCGCCCGGGCGCTAGTTGAGCGCCGAGCCTCGGGCGCGCGTGGCGCCGCCTCCCAGACGCCTAACGACGATGAGCCAAGACGCGGGGGTCGCGGAGAGCAGGTGAGCGCAGCCGCGGGGCTGGGCGGGGGTCGGGGTTTGGGAAGGAGGACGGGCAGAGCGGGGGTGGGGTGCGGCTGGCCCCGACATCGCCTCGTGGAGAAGGGCTTTGCGGTCTTCAGCACCCTCCACCGCGGGCTCTGCTTTTCCCGTTTTCCGGACGGGGCGGGGGCTGCACTCCCGCCCCGGCATCCCCGCTCGAGCCGCACAAACAAAGCACCCTTCGGTGGCGGCGCCTGCCTGGCGAGGGCGCGGAGCTTGGGGGTGGCGACTCGCCCTCCAGCCCGGACTCCGATCCCCTACCGCCGGGAGGCCCAGGGCGGCTGCACCTGGGTCAGGCGGGCTGCGCCGGGGTCGCGCGCAGGTGCTCGCGCGGGAGGCGGTGGCGCGCGGCTCCGAGGCCCCGGGCGCTCGGCCCGGAGGCGGGGCTACGGCCGGCGCTGCTGCCCTCTGTCGTCGCGGCTTGCAGGCGCCCGCAACCCGGCCCCTCGGGAACCGCGGCGCAAAGGCGGCGGCAGGTGGGCCAGATTGGTCCACATCCACCCGGCGGCAGCGGCTGCCGGCGGCGCGCCGGCGTGGAGGAGGCTGGTCGCCCGGTGGCATCCGCTGTGCTCCCGGCGCGAGTGGACTCGCGCCCTTCCCGCCTCCGCGCTGACTCCCCGCCCCCCCGGCCGGCTTCTGCTGTCCTCGTGTGCTCCCGTCTCTCGAGCTTCAGCTCCCCGGATCCCCTGCGCCCACTGCACCCGGGTCAGGGAGGACTTGGGAAGTTTTTCTGAACACCACTGGCGTTTTGGCCCCTTGACTTGCAAATGGTTTGAGCCGAGAGCGGGATTATTTCCCTAATCCCCTTTTGCCCATGCGTGGAACACCCCCATCACCCCCCTGCGCCAGTCATCCCTTCTGCGCTTCCATGGGGCCCTACCAGTGTCTTTAGCACGGAAGGCACGAGATCAGCATTGCTTTTAGGATATCTGCTTTTACTGTAAAGGTACCAATGCCTCCGTTTGTCATCAGCGTCCCACAGACCTTTAAAGGCAGCCTCTTTTCACGTGGGAATGTGTATTCAGAGCTGGTTTGGGCTGTGGTGGTCGAGTTCTTCAGAGCTCTCATCTGCAGAAGCAGACTTTTGGCATTGGATGCAGTTTCAGCGCAAGACACGTGACGGCTTGTTTGTGAAATGTATCCTTTAGGTAATCCTCTCATTGCTGTAAGCACATGCAGGAAGCCCGCCCAAAGCAGTGCAGAAACCCTGGGCAAAGATTCAGACTCTGCAGAGAACTTGCTTATGGGACAGTCCCTGCCACATAACAGTTTCTGCACGATCAACTAGAGAATACGGAGCTTTAAAGTGTTCACGACTTAAGTGTTTCGTGGATTATTCGTTGAACATTAGGCTCATATTCTTTTAGGAAGGAGGGAAGGATTTTTTTGTTTAGTTTTATGTGTGATTTTTTCTTTTCTCCTCTGTTCTTTATAACACTGTTGCAATCAGGAAGACAGTGTCAAAAGGTTTGTTGTGGTTAGGTTCTGCTGTTGAATTTTTTGACATTAGCATTAATAAAACGCCACTAGGACAAGAACTGGGTCCACTTGGGTCATCAAAAACACTTCCTTAGAGGTGGTCAGTTAGCAGGAAGACGTGCAAATAGTGGTTACAGTGAATTTTGAATCAATCAAATACAGCAAAAGTAAAGTTTTGTTCCAAAAGAAAAGGGAAGTGAATTGAAGTATAGTGTGTGAAATTAACATGCACTGTTATTTACACAAAGCAGAGCTAACTCAACTACTCCCTACCTACTCCTTCCTAGTTCAGTTCAGTTGCTCAGTCGTGTTTGACTCTTTGTGACCCTATTACTCTGAAATGTGGGTCCTCCCTACCTCTTCACATGAAAGTTTGCTAGCCCGCAATTACTGATCTTTCTGGTCTCTTCAGGAAGACTTGCTAATGAGTCATTTGCACATTTCGATGTGGCAGCAAAGTCTGTATAATTGTGTGTCAAACAAGGGGGAGGTGTAATTCTCAGAAAACCCTAAAGCACCCTACAGATGTTTGCTACTGTTACTTGTAATTTTTAGTAGTTGCACAGTATGCCACTCTGATTCCCACATTTTTGGCCATTTAAAATGTTATTACTGATTTTTAAATACTAAGGGGGGTGGGTCTCTATATCTAGGGACTTCCCAGATGTCTCAGTGGTAAAGAATCTGCCTGCCAATGCAGGAGGTGTGGGTTCAATCCCTGGTCCAGGAGAATCCCATGGAGAAGGAAATGGCAACCCACTCCAGTATTCTTGGAAAATCCCATGGACAGAGGAACCTGGTGGGCTACAGTCCGTGGGGTCGAAAAAGAGTTGGATATGACTTAGTGACTCAGCAACAGCAACTTTATATCTAATTACCACATTGTTTCTGTCATTTATCCAGTGAACCTTTTTTTTTTTTAATAGTGCAAACTATACGCCAAACAATGTGTTAGATGCTGAGGATGTGGAATCCTTTGCTACACACACACACACACACACACACACACACACACTTCTCTTATTCTTCAGTTCCCAGGAGTTATAAAGGACTTACAGAGTACAACGTGCATGCACGCTCAGTTGTGTCCGACTCTTTGCAACCCTGTGGACTGTAGCCTGCCAGTCTCCTCTGTCCATGGAATTTTCCAGGCAAGAATACTGGAGTGGGTTGCCATTTCCTGCTCCAGGGGATCTTCACTATCCAGAGATTGAACCTGTGTCTCTTGCATCTCTTGAGCAGCACAATAAAGCCATTAATTTAGGTGTGCATCAGAGCAGGGATCAGGGAGGGGAGTAGAGAAGGGATCCCTTCAATTGGGCTGACTAATGGTAATCACCCCACCCCATCCATTCTCAGTCAGGCCAGCTCTCCTTCTTGCCTGCCCTGGGCACTAATGATTTCATTCTTTTCCCTCTTCTTCCTCCTCCCCTCCTTGACCCCTCACTGAAAGAAGTGTTCCAGTTGCCTCCCTTCTCCCTTAAGCCAGCTCAGTTCCAACTGTTTTTCCTCCTGGTCCTACTTCCCTTTGGAGTACAGTATGCAGAGATTTCATTGACAGTTAGTTATAGGAGAAAGAAGGAAGTAAACCTTGAAACTGTTCACCCTAGTTCCTGTCACCCACAGTTGCCATTTGGGCCATATCCCAAATGCAGTCATGTCTTCACTTTTATCCCCCACCACCCGGGGTCATTCTCCATCCATAAATGTGGCCTGCAAAGCTAAAGTCCTATGTACTTTTCCTTTCCTAAGATGCTGAAAACCCTTCCCTGAAGTGTGTATGTACAGTCATACAGAAAACACAGCATCTTAAGTGTACAGCTGATAAATTATCACCAGGTGAACACATCTGTGTAACCACCACCCAGGTCAAGAAATAGAACATGGCATCCTAAAAGCCCCGTTCCTTTTCCTCCTACTTTCCTACCCCTGCATCCCAGAGGGACCAGAGATAGTGTTTCTAGTTTGTAAACTTTATAAAAATAGAATCACACAGCATATGCCCTTTTGTGTCTGACTTCTTTTGTGCTGTTAGGTCTGTGCTATTCATCCTCTCAGTCGTGTGTAAGTACTTTTTCATCCTCGTGGCTTACAGGACTCCACTTTATGACGGAATCACATTTTGTTCATCCATTTTTCTCTTGATGAATATGGCAGTTGTTTCCAGGTTTGCCTGTTACAACTAATGATGTGTGAATCCTTTAGCTTTTTGATATCCAAAAACCTGCCTGTTTGACCACTATTTTTTTTTTTTTTTCCTGCTGGTGTAACTGAAGAAAAGGAAGGAGGGAATAGATGAAGGAGCCAGCCTGGAGAGCTAGGCCTGGGGATTTTTCACCATTGCTGGCACTAAATGTTTTCCAAAGCATTTAAAGCTGTGCTCTCATTCCGGGACCTGAACATAGAAGAAAAAGGTGATAGGATGGCTTACATCCCAGGTGAGCTGATTATAGGTGGTGGTCATGAGATACTTAGAATAAAGGAAACTGGGTGATGATGGGAAACCTGCCTAGCTTGGGAAGTGTCCCTTGGGAGAACTGACAGCTGCTGGCTCATGATGCCCACATCTCTCCTCCGCCTTCCCCCATCTGCCTGTCACTTTCCCCTATGGAGTCCTTGACCCCCCCTCCCCAGCCCCCTGCCCCAGGCTGGTCCCAGAGGGCTTGGAGTTCAGGAAATCCTTCTGTCCCTATGCAAGGGGCTGTGTAGTTGGCTTCCAGTCCTCAAGTCTGTGAAGACAGTTTCCTTGGAATATGCTTTAAAGTTTCCTAGCCTCCTGAGGGGTGTTTGTCCTCTGGTACTACAACTTCTTGGGCAGGGAGGCCTGGCTTTTGTGGCCTGGACTGAGATTTTCTTTGGGGAAATGCTTGGACCTTTTGGGCTCAACGCAGGCAGTGTCTGAGCCTGTAGGCTGTCAGGGTTGCCCAGGGTCAGACACTCCCCATGAGAGATGTTGACGACAGCAGATTCTGGAACCCTGCATTGTTTACTTCCTTCTTTGCACTCAAACGTCAGATCTTCCCAACGGGAAGGATTTAGAGACCACTCGGTGGACCAGATGATCTGCATTCAGCATCCTGGGGTTGCCATCGGCTTGGTTACAGAGTTGGAGTTTCTCCACCTCCCTGTCTTTCCTCATCTCTCCCTTTCTCCCTCTGATCACACTTGCTTTCCTCCTGTTCCTGGATCTTGATCAGTTCCTTCCTGCGTCAGAAGGACACACACAGAAGCTGTGTGACCTCAACTCNGACTTAGCAGCAGCAGCCGCAGCAGCTTTCTCTGAAAATGCAAAAGCTGACTTTAGCACTGAGGTTTAAGTGGTCTTAAGTTTCATGCCTGTGTTCTTCGCGTGAGAGCTGCATTCTTCCCAGGTCACCATGGCCTGCTCTGGGCTAAAATGATAGCTTATATTGTTTTCATTGTGTTCGTCCCACATCACATACGTTTTATTTCCTGATCTGTCTTCTCTTCGGTTAGTGTGC